ATAAAAATAATTAATAAAATATTATTAAAATACATGTATAATGTTATATAAGATTAATAATATTTTTTTTATTAGCAAGAAAAATGTTATTAAAGAGATGCAAAGAGTACCTCAAATATGTTTATAAAACTATTATGAAATAAAAACTAAAGTTTATTATTGAATTAAGATAGTTATATTCAAAAACCCTTCTGCTAGCATGATTCCTTTCCATACCATTATGCAAAAAAATCAATCTTAGACAGCATACTGAGTTCCAAGAAAGGGAAACTGACAGTTTCAAACCATCCTAATCTTACTTAGACCTACCTCTTCACTTTCAAATAGTGGTGATAGAAGCTCCAATGCATCACACACATCAATCATTTCCCACGTACCCATAAGTTCGATTGCCTGCTTTGCTTCCTGTATATACATCAATAAATCAATCTTCAATAATAACATTTTTGTTCATTAACCACATAAAAAGCATGTAGCAGGTGGAGCAATGGAGAAAAGGATGGTAACTTGAACATCACTCCATTCAACACATCTTAGAAATTTTGTTAGTGCCCTATTCTCAAACATCAATGATAAGCAAAATTTCCAAAGCAGCTGTCTCTCATCTCCACTTGAAGCCCTTGTTGGTGGATATTTTAAAATTCTTTGGATTATCCTTAAAACAAAAGGAAAAGGAGATAATATGCCACCTATTTGAGAAGAATTTCACCAACTATTATGTGAAAAAATACTTAAAATGATATATATGGATAGAATGACAAAACAATCCAACAGAGATAACAAAGAAAAGCCTCTGAAAAGTTGTCATTACTGCCACTTTTAAAGAGCACTAAACTCTGGACATCATATTGACAAATACAACTAAATTTGGTTTTATAGAGCTTAGATACTTGGTATAGAATCAACAAAGACCAACTTAACTACATGGCAATTTAAAATGTGAGCTACACAGGCAACAACCATGTTGAAAAACAATATGAAACTTCAAAATATTTTGAACCCTAGTAGTTACTACAGACTTCAAACTTACTTCCGTTCAGTAGAGCTCGGCTTAAGATCCCTATCAATAATGCCACGAGTTAAACTCCTAGCCAACTTTAGTTGCTTCTATTCAGAGGTATTTATCCTGCCCAGTTCTGGGTCCCACACGATGACAAGTTCATTTGATGAAGTTATTGGAGATGGCAACAAGAAATTTGCCCCTAACTCCTATATGTTAAAGGATAGTAAGGTAATATTATTTTGGTTAGCATTAAAAGGTTCAAAGCAATGTCTCATAACCATGCACTGAACTACAACAACACTCCATACATACATACCCCCAAATAACAATGTTCTAAGCCTTTGCATACCATAAATAAAACTTTAACAGAGGCTTTTTATTCTTTATATATATATATATATGACAGCAACTTTATATGAAAAGGCACAGATAAATTAAGGCATCTAGGACACCACAAACTTTTCAAAGTCTAGGTTGTTGGGTGAAAGCACCACTTCAAAGGAACCACCAAAATGGTAAAAATAAAAAGGACAAAAGGAATAGTTCGTTCTCATTAAGTAATACACAGACGCTACAATTGAGGGACCAACCATTTTATTTTCAGTTTACATGCTCAAATTTGAAGAATGGGAATTGAGATATTAAAAAAGAAGATAATAAATTATTCATCTTATTGCAAATATGCTTGTGGATCATAAACATTCAACATAAACACTAAAAATAAGTAACCTGATGAATGCATTGCACTACCTGGAAAACAACTCGATGTTCAAAACCACATACAATAAATACAGTAAACCAATACTCCTAATTCTGTCTCCTTATAAATATATCAGGAAAACTCCTTGAACTCTTTTTTTTTTTTATGCCAATAGTATAAAAATATAGCTAATTGTGCAAATTAAGAAGTGTTTATCTATGCATTGAAGTATGAATCTATTTAGTGTGTTTCTCTAAAAGCATTAGAGAGAGAGAGAAAGAAACCTCACAAACTACCATGCCAACAAAATCACCTTGGTCATCATCCAACCTTCCAACTGAGACAGAAAATGCAAAGATAACTAAGTTTCAAGGTGCAAGAGAAAATGCAAAGATAACTAAGTTTCAAAAAAATTGAATCAAAAGCAATGGAAAAAAAATGATTACGAGTAATTTACCTAATGCAATCTGTGAAATACTTCTTTAAAAACGATATTAGTTGTATGTTTTGAGACATTCCCTTGAACATCCAAGCTTAGAATTTTCAATCCATGCTTACTTTTTACTCTTGAAAGTGCAACATACAACTGACCATGGCTGAATACAAGCCTTGCAAGGTAAATTCCAACATGTGAAAGAGTTTGCCCCTGACTTTTATTGATGGTCATAGCAAAACACTTAACTAAAGGAAATTGTCTTCTCTAAAATTTCACTGGAAGTGAATGGTTAGAAGGAGTCATTACCATCCGAGGTATAAGGACAGACAGACCTACACTCTTTTCGGACAAAATTTTTCCTTCCACAACATGATTTCCAAGTCTTGTGATTAGTAATCTTGTTCCATTACACAAGCCACTGGATTGATCAATATTTCTCAAAAGCATGGGTGGGATGCCTACTTTGAAACCCACTTTATGATCTGGAAACCTTGAAGCAGTGAATGTGTTAAGTACCTCATGAGCATATGTCTGTTGACTGGTACTGAAGTCCAAATCATCTTTGCATACGAAATCTGAACTTAAATAGCTCTTTTCCACACTTTTAATGTTGGACATCAAGTAATCATTTAACATAGCAACGTCCTTAATTGTTGGAGACAAAATGCAGCGCTCTTGGAAGAACTTAATATCTTGATCATCTATTCTACCCAAAAAGTCTGGATATACAAAATCCACAAGTTGAGCAAGTTCATTAACATCATCCTCAATCAACATTTCTTTTGGAATCTCAATAATTGACTCACCATCAACATCATCTCCAATCTCTCCATCTCCAACTTTCAATAATTCCTTTGAATATGTCAAAGGACTAGACAGCAAATCACTAAACTCATTCAACTTGCCTTCGTCCACTACAAATGCTTTCCTCCAACTACCTTCTGCTTCATCTCCACCCTTACCACTCATGCGTAAGTAAAACTCTCGAGTTTTATGCACATTGTGTATTCTAGGAACATGAAAGTTACCATCAAGAACTAGCATGAGTTGGGCATGAAAACCAAACAACAATGAAAAGTTAAAAAACACCTCATTTGCAACATTAAAACCGAGTATCTTAACCTCATTAGAATCATTACACGTCCAATACAGAACACTAACAATTGTTAAAGCAATCGTACTACTCGCAAACAGTGGAGCGTGTTCAATCCTTCTCCAAGAATTTGATTTCAAACTAAAAACCAAGACTTGAGGAAACGGAGAACCCCTGGGGTTATGATACTTTTAAATCATCACAATCTTGCAGTCATCAAGAGCGAAATCATACCCAAGATAGAAACTGTTAAAATTACTAAAACTAGTGCATTCATAACT